TAGAAGCAAAAAAACCCCAGATACCTGCTTTCAGCAGGCCATGGCCTCAGAGCTGGAGCGAGCAGGACGGCAACAAAGTTTCAATTATAGAAGATAAATAAATCCCAGAATAAAAAAAAAAGAGAAAAAGGAGAGGCTGGCAGTGCTAAGGATGTCCAACTGCAGCTTAGGTCTGCTCCCCGCTGGCAAGTGGGCTTCCTCCAAGGGCTCCCAGGCTGCCAGAGGGATGTCTGATTGCCAGCTTAGGCCCAATCCCCTCCCCCGGGGGCCTAAGCCAGCAGGTGGTCATCCCCCAAGGGGTCCCAGACTGTGAGAGGGCACAGACCGCGCTGAGGGACTCCCCCCTCCCCCCCGCCCAGTGCACAAATTTTTGTGTACCGGGCCTCTAGTCATTTATAACAAGCTATGTTTATACCAATGTTTTTTAGTTGATTGTTGCTTAAGTTCAAATGCATTCTAAAACTACATTTTTTATCCATCCCATGTTTGTTTTTGACATCATATTTTACATCTTCTTTTGTGTGTGTATCCGTTAATGTATTACTGTGTGACACAAGCTTTTACTACTTTTGTGTGTTAATCTTCCTTCTAGCTTTGTAATTGGTTGATCTACTACACTTACAATTGATTGCCTTTATCAGTGCAAATTTTTTCTTTCCAATATTTTCTTATTTTTAGTTTTGGTATTTTTCTTTTAAAGAAGGTTCCTTAACTTTTCTTCTAATGCTTGTTTAGTGGTGAGAACTCTTTCAGCGTTTGCTTATCTGGGAAACCCTTTATCACTACTTAAATTCTGAGTGCTCTGACTTTTCTGGATATTTTTGGTTGTAGGTTTCCACCTTTCCTCGCTTTGAATATTTTGTGCCATTGCCATATCTGCTGAAAAATCAGCTAACGGTCTTATGAAGGATCCTGTGTACATAACAAGCTGCTTTTTCTCTTGCTGCCATTAGATTCTTTAACTTTTGGCATTTTAAATATGATGTGTCTTAATATGGGCCTCTTCGGGTTCATCTTGTTTGGAACTCTCTGTGCTTTGTGGATTTGGATCCCTGTTTTCCTCTCCAGGTTGGGGAACTTTTCAATTATTATCCCTTTAAGTAGGTTTTACATCCCTTTCTCTTCTCTTTCTGGGACCCCTATGATTCAAAACTTGGCACACTTGAAGTTGCTCCACATGTCCCGTAAACTATCCTCACTTTTGAAAACATAAGTTTTTTTCTTTTTGTTGTTTTGGTTGACTTTCACTACCTTGTCTTTTAGCTTGCTAACTCATTCTCCTGCCTCAATTAATGCGCTGTTGATTCCCTATAGAGTATTTTTGTTTTAATTTTAATTATGATATTCTTCAATTCTGATTGGTTGTTTTAAATATTTTTCTATGTATTTGTTCTCCCGAGTTCATTGCGCATACTTGTAACCAGTATTTACTTTTAAATCTTTATTAGGTAAATTGGTCATATCTGTTTCATTTTCTAATAATTCTTATTAATTAATTAATTAATTAATTTATTTATTTATTTATTTATGTTTCCTGATCTTTTATTGGAATGCATTTCTCTGTCTCCTCATTGTGGCTGTCTCTCTCTCTGTGTTTGTTTCTATGAGTTAGGTGAAACAGCGACCTCTCCCAGTCTTGAAGGAGAGACTTGTTTAGGAGCCTCTCCTCTGTAGACTGTGTGAGCCAGGTGTCTTTAGCAGGTGAGCCAGAGGTGCAGTGGGAGTGGGCCTTGGGGAGCCCTGGGTTTAAGGGACCCTGAGCTGGAGCTGCAGTCGGATTGGCTGTGGCAGTCCTGGGGACAAGCCACAGAGCTGGTTTGGGCCGGGGGCCTGGGGACTGGGCCTCGTGTGCACCCTGACCACCAAGGCTGGCTGAAGCACTTGATTTATGTCCTGCCCAAGAGACCAAGGAGGACAGAGAGTGTCAATGAATGACTGTCTCTGTCCTGTACCCCTGACACCAGAGGGGGTTCCTGCAGTTCCCCTCGACTTGGCAGATGTTCTCGGTTAGTAAATGGATTTCCCTCCTTATAGTCTAGGTGCCCTTTCACCACTGTTTTTCACTTTACCCAGAGGGGGCGAGACTGCACATACACCTCAGGGACCCCTGCCCACTGCAGGTCAGTGCTGGGGTGGGGTTGCCATGGTGCCATGTCTCTGTCTCTCCCCCCTGTGTCTACGGGATGTCTCTCTTGTTGGTTGAGCAGAAGTTGTTCCGTCAGCCCTCCTTTCCTCTCCAGGGGGAGCTGCTCTGTCTGCAGGTGGGAATTTAATGTGAAATGGGGGGAGGTGAGCTCAGGGTTTTCCTTCACTGTTGTCTTGGATTGGGAACCCTTGATTGATTTACCGCTTTATCTGTTTCCCATCATCTGCTACTTGTCACTTTGTTTCTATTGCTATTGTTTGTTGTTTTTTTTATGTATTGCCTTTTAAAACTTTGGAATGAAATTATTACATAAAATATTTGAATGTTCCTCAAGTTAAAACTATTAAGTAAGATGTATATTCAGAAAAGTACAGATTCCTTCAACCTATTCCCTCATTTTGCCCTGTAGACAACCACTTAAACAATCCATCCCTTGTTTCTATAGATAATTGATTGGTAGGTAGAAAAATAAATAGGCAGATGAAATGAATAGGTTTATCTATATGTTCTGATATCTGCCTGTGTCTTATTAAACAAAATGCTGCATAAAACTCTGCTGCTTTGTGCTCACACGCGTTGGGAGGCCACCCCACAGGAGTCTCTCACGTTCCCTCCAGGGCAGAGGATCGTATGCTGGTGGCACATCAGGGAGCCACACGCTCGCCTGGAGGCCGAGCAGGGGCCCTGGTTGATGCTCAGATCAGCTCCACACAGGGCTTCCTGTGACAGACAGTGACTTTCCCATACAACCTTTCCCACTAGAGTGGCAGCTCTGTCCTGATGGCCTCCGGGACCTGCTCATGGGGAAGGTGCATCTCAAGGCAGAGACAGCACAGCAGGCCTTTTATCTGAGACACTGAAAGACTGAAATGTGGAAGCCACCATTCATCTCATAAAGGGGAGTTAAAGAGGTACTGGTTTAGGTACCTTCTTTTAAAAAATTAGAGAAAAAGAACAAAAAGAACATGATTATAGAAACAGTGAACACATCATATTCTTACAGTGGCCTGCTTTCCTTTTCTCTTTTAAAAAGAACCATTTTTTTAATTGCTTTCAGAGAGGAAGGGAGAGGGAGAAATAGATAGAAACATCAAGGATGTGAATCATTGATTGGCTTCCATCTGCACACTTCCTACTGGGGATTGAGCCTGAAACCCAGGCATGCGCCCTGACCCAGAATTGAATGGTGACCTCCTGGTTCATAGGTTGACCCCCAACCACTGACCACACCAGCTGGGCTTGTCTGCATTTCTTATACTTGCTGTCTCCTCCCATATCCTAGGGGCAAGGGAACCTGTGTGCTTGTCTTTGAGAAACACTGACGTAAGAGACCACCACGTTCAAGTCCATGGCAGGCTCTCTCCTGGCTCAGGAACCAGGCCGATTACAGGAGAGAAAACTCAGGAAAAAGCAGGAAGGGAACAAAAAAACATTCCAGATGCCCACAGGACCAGATTCAGGAAATAAGTGAAAATTATTGTTGTGTTGTGATGAGATCCTCTCTCTTTTCTTCCTATTTCTTGTCCTTGAAGCCTGTGAGGCAGATGGTTTCACTCCATATTTAATTGAGGAACATTTTATGAAGAAATGTGGGCAGAGGTGAGCTAAGGTGCTCAGCAGACAGCGAGGGTTGAACACACAGGGACAGGGAGGGATGGAACTAAGGTTCTGCAGTCAACACTGGGGCCTCCAGGTCCAGGACAGGAGGAACCAGCAGGGAGGAGGGGCTGCAGGTCCGGAGCCAGGAC